ATAATCAGCACCCTTTGTATCAGCAGTCAAGAGATCAGGAGACATTTAACATTGAGAAAGTCTACTGTCACAGACTTCTCCAAAGTCCTCATAAGCAATGGTGTTGGTTTAAAGACTAAAGCGTGCCTAATTAAAATCATAATCATCTCAATCATCTGCTATGCATCTGAGAGCTTGACTGTGAATAAGGATACAAAGGAAAACTCAATGCTTTTGAGTTGTGCTGTTGAAGAAGAGTCCTGACAAAAGACCAAACAGATATATCTTGAAAAAAAAATACAACCAGTGCACTCAGTAGAGGCAAGGATGGCAAAGCTTCATCTCATATGCTTTGGGCGTGTTGTTATGAGAGGCTCTTCCTTGGAGAGGCACTTAATTCTTAGAAAAGTAGAATATCAGTGAGAAAGAAGAAGACTCTTAATTAGATGGCTTGATAAAGTGATGGGGCATATGTTCATATGATTTCTATGAGGCCTACTTGACTCCACTGCTCCCAATGACAACAATCCACAAAGACATTGATCTGCATCTTGCTTTGGTGAGGCCCTGCTGAGATTTTAAAGGCTTGTGAGTGGCCATTCAAGGTACAGTTTTTGGTGTCTCAATTTTTAACAAATGCGGGGTAAAGGAATTGTGAAAGATCTGGCAGAGACCTGAAAAGACAGGGTAAGAGGGAGCATAAGTCAATGGGGATAAAGTTTACACAGTGAGTGGGAATAATTGTATGAAACACAATGTGAATGAAGGAAAGTATGAAAGATAATATATATGAATTTCACATGCAAACAATATAAAATAATTTAACAAAAAAAAAAAAAAAAGAATGTCACAGACTCAGAGAAACAATTAGACCAAAATACTAATGACTGTGACCAGGAAAAATAGATGACACCTGGCTATCTCTACCAACTTGTCTGATCAAGATCACAGTAGAATATCCTAAAGAGAGTAGGAGAAAGATATAGAAAAAAATCCAGAATCATAAAAAGACTAAACTTTATTGCTCTGATAGAGACTGAATAAAGTCCTGAAACCATGGTCCTTCAGGTCCCACTGATCACCTTTCAGCTAAAGAGTAGACAGACTTATGAGGGAAGAGCTCCCCAGGACCATCAACCGTATAAATCATAAAGAGCAGCCTTTTCCCCTAAAGCAAAGTTTAGAAAGTAGGCAATCACTGGCTCATGGTCAGTGAGTCAGAACCAGCTCCTTGCTGACCCTCCAGGTTTTCAAAGGCTGTGAACCACATAGGAGGCGATTGCCCATCCTTCTCTCACAGAGCAGCTGGGGTTTGACTTTGGGTTGGTAGCACTCCTTACCCACTAGGCCTGATAGAAGGTAGGAAGGAGCTGGAAAGAGAGACAAATGGAAACATTGAAAACTACGGCGCTATTAAGGAGAGTGCTGTTATATTGAAAGAATGGCAACTAATATCAGGAAACAAAATATGTATAAATTATTGAGTGAAAAACTAATCCACTCTGTAAACTTTCACCTCAACAATAATGAAATCTTTGAAATAATGTTTTTCAAAAGAACTTCTCAAGAGAAAAATAAGTTTTGTGTATTTTTTTTGTAACCTTATGGTTCCTTTGAAATGGGTTCAGAACACAATTACCTGCAGACCTGTTTCTATTTACTGAGCACACTTAACTATTATTTACCCAGTGAATTTAGGTATTACTTACTGGAATCAAATTCTCAGAATTCTGAGGTTAGAAATTTTGTCCTGAGAAAACAAACAGCTTGCTGTTGTTGATATTTTTACTTGGAAGCTTTATTAGGGTACTTTGTATTCATTTCTTATAATATAAATCATGCCTGCATGATCTAGTGACTGGATCATTTATCTCGTTTATTCCTGTATAATTCGAGATTTCACACCTAATGAAAGACCTCGTGGTCTGATGTCAGCAGTTAGCTATTTGAATACTCCTTGATAGCGTCATAGGCTGAGGCTGGCATGACCTTTTGGAGCTGTTTATATGTGATAATGAGCCAGGTTTGTCCAGTGACTGAATTAATCATGGCTGGAACCTTAGGAAGCACCATTAACTCCTTAAGGGATGACTCTGTAGGTCACTGCCCAAGGGCAGCAAAAGCTAATAGTGCCCAAGTAACTAACAAGAAGGAAGGTTAATTTCAAAACTGTTTAGGACATTTTTGTCTTAGACAAAAGTTTAAGATATTCTAGTTGAGTTCAAGAATCTCTGGTTGCCTAATGGTTAGGGTATGCAGTTCAAATTCACCAGCTGCTCTGTAAGGCAAAGAAGGATAGTCGCCTCCGGTGTGGTCTATAGCCTCTGAATATCCCCTGGAGGGTCAGCCATCAGTCCTTTCTGAATCGACAATACTGTGTGTGTGTGGGAGGTGTGTGTGTTTATGAATTGAGGTGCCCAATGAAAAAATTCTCAAAACTATTCTTAACTCTTAGAACAATTAAAAATTGAATGGATGGATAGACAGATGATAGATAGATAGATAGATAGATAGATAGATAGATAGATAGATAGATATAGATAGACAGATAGATAGTTTATTTGTTGTTGGTAAGTACAGTTGAGTCAAGTATGACCCATCACAATCCTATGAACAACAGATCTGAGCCCTGACCTATCCTGTGCCATCCTTACACTTCCTGACATGCTCAAGCCCTGCAGCAGTCACTGTGTCAACCCATCTGGTTGAGGGTCTTCCTCTCTCTTCTGTAGACCTTCCACCTTTCTGAGCATGATGTCCCTTTCTTAAGAATAACCTCCCCTAGCAACGTATTAGAAGTATGTGAGATAAAACTTTATTGTTATTTGACTCCAAGAAGCATTTTTGACTGCACTTTTTCCAGGATATATTTGTTTGTTCTTTTGGCAGCCCATGGGATGTGCAGTGCTCTTCTCCAACACCACAACTCAAAGGCCTCAACTCTTCTTCTGTAATCACTTTTCATTGTGCAGCTCCCAGATGCATAGCAAGTGGTCAGAAAAACATAGTCTGAATCAGATGCACCTTAGTCATCAAACTGACACCATTACTCCTCAATAATTTGGAGAGATCTCTAACAGCAGACTTTCCCAGTGAAATATGTCTCCTGGTTTCCTGCTTGTGCTAAGGGTGTTAATTGTGGATCCAAATAAGATAAAGTTGTTGGCAGTTTCAAGCTCTTCTCTATCCACCATGATAAATTGATTATTATTTCCAACATAATTATTTGAATAAATATTTTTTCTACTCCCTTTCCCCATAAGAACGAACGAACGAACTAACTAACTAACTAACTAACTAACTAACTAACTAACTAACTAATTCATAGCTAACACTCACTTCGTTTCCAATACCTAAATTTTTCAGGATTGTCGATTTCCTGTCTTTCAGCCGTAGACTGACTGGTGGAGTTGTAGTCTTTGGTGAACCGTACAACTTCCTATGGACTGTTTATTCCAGCAGAGCTTAAAAATTGGATTACCCTCTTATATTAGCAATGACAAGTCTTCAATAGAATCCTTATGCACATGCCAAATCATTAATCAATACTGATGCACTAATATTTACTGAATGCTTTCTATTTGTTAGGCACTGTTCTTCATACATTATTACCTATCAGTTCATATAATCCTCATAACAACTCTGGGGATATTACTACCATAATTTTATAGATGAGAATACTAAGGTACATAGAGACAGTAACTTGCTCAAAATCACCATGGAACTCTGGGTGGGTTGTTAGGTACTACGCAATAATGCACTTGAAATCTTTATTTTAGATAAATGTGGCATCCTGGTTTTCATATACTAGATCCGGGTTAATTATAATCCCAACAAATGTGTGCTCCACCTTGTAATGAGTTTGCCCTATTCTAGAAGAGTCGGAGGGTAGACAGGGAGCTCTGTAACCCTTCTAATCTCACTTCCAATTATTTTCCTACTTTCTCTATTAGAATTAGAAAAACTAAAACATACCCAAAATAGGGTAGCGTACAAGTGAATTCCAACTTTTCATGCTGATACAATCTGTGTCAGAGTGAAACTGTTTCTGTGGGTATTCATTGGCTGAGTTTCCTCTAAGGCACCTGTGAATGGACTTGAACCTCCAGTCTTTGGGATAGCGACCAAGTGTATTAATGGTCTGCAATTCCATAGAATTAAAGAGAACCAATAGAGATAGTGATACTGGTTCTGCCTTTTCATGTATGTTCAAATGCTGTGCCTATGTATGTGGTCATTCAACACTTTAATATGTGTGTATTCATCACGGTAGTTACTATGGGCCTCTTATAATCCAATCCATGATTCAAATAACCTTAAAAGCAAAGGATTTTGTTTGCCAGCCGAAGTACTTATGTGGCAAAAATGGGGTGGGGGTGGGGCATATACTCAACTTGTTGACTTTGAAATTAAGGAATTCTTCGTGAATATTTAAAGGAAATTTGGAGTAATCATTCTGTTTTAGGTAATTTCCACAAATGCTTTATTACTACTGTCTCGTTGTTATGTGCTTTCAAGTCAGAATTGACTCCTAACTGACCCTCCCACGAGTTTTCCAAGACTGTGACTCACACAGGAGGAGATTGGCCATCTATGTTCCCTGGAGTTGTTCAGTGGATTCGAACTACATGTCTTTGGGTTGGCAGCATAACACTATATACTAGTAGCATAATACTATAGCTTATTAATAGCTTTTATTGTACAATTAACAGTACTATGTATATATTACCTGAGATAAATTTTCTTGGTGGTCAGGGAACCCAGGATTATGGAAACTGCTATTCCTGTGACTAGTTTTATGAATAATGTATAATTCTCTCATTCTGGCCTCTCTGGAATTCAAGTAAAGCAAGTGCAAATGTTATTAAGTACTAGAAGTTTCTTTAGTAGTATATGGAAGTAAAGAGCTAGCAAGTTTTTACTCACCAAACTATTTTCTTCTAAATAACAAAGCTATTAAAAATGGTATTAAAGATGGCCTTCACTCAGAAGTTTAAATGATCCTTTCCTCATTGTGACAGGTCTTGGCCAGCCTGCGAACTGTACGAAACAACTTTGCTGCATTAACTAATTTGCAAGACCGAGCACCAAGCAAGTAAGTCAGCCTCTTCCCCCAACCCTCCTTCTTGCTCAGCTTGTAGATGGGGTTCTGTCAAATTGAGTGAATTTAAGGTAGTATTAGGTTTCTCTGAGTGATTGCCATGTTATACTAGGTCGTATGATGTGAACTGTTACTTTTCTATAAATACTTGAAAGTGGCAATGCTAATATCAGAAATGAAGTAGCAATGCTAATATCAGAAATGAAGCAATATGGCAAATAAACATAGTGATTGCATCTGTCAGAAATCACCTGGCAGTGTCAGTCGTCTGCTCAGTTATGTACATGCAGGGTAACTTGATAGTTTGACTTACTTCATAAATTAATGGTGAGTATCGTCTCTCAGCCAGTCCCTGGAGAAGAACATCATGCTTGGTAAAGTAGAGGCTTACTGAGAAGGAAGGAACTCTTCAATGAGGTGGGTTGACACAATGGCTACAACCATGAGCCAAAGAACAGCAGTGATTGTAATGAGGGCGGACAGTGTTCTGTTCTGTTGTACAAAGATTCACTGTCAATTAGGACAAACCTGATGGCATCTAACAACAATAAAAAAATATTATTTCATCAAGTCTTTACATTTGACTCAAATGCTTATTTTTTCTTCTAAGTCAGTGATGATTTGGTAAGGTACTTTTTTTTTTATCGTTGGTCTTTAGTGTGCAGTGGTCCTTAGGTGTTGTAAATGGTTAACTTGCTTAGCTGCTAATTGAAAAGATGAGAGTTGGGGTGTACCGAGATACCTTGGAAGAAAGTCTTGATGATTGACTTTTGAAAGATTAACCGCTTGAAGGCCCTACTTAAAAAAAAAAAAAAGAAAAGAAAAGAAAACCAAAGAACAACTTATTTTGTATTGGTTTGCTTACAGATTCATATACATTGTGTTTCACACTCTCCTTCATTCACATTGGATGTGGCACCATTTTAGAGCACAGATCTTTGATTCTCCTGATGTCACTGGTTCTCAGATTAACAGCAGCTTTAAGGAGCACTTCATGCACTTGTAGTTTCTGTGATAATAGAAGAATTGAAAATATTTCAGAAAGGTCAGTTAGGAGTGATTGTAATTTGAACATTCTGGTTGTTGTTTGTTGTTGTTGTTGTTGTTGTTGTTGTTGTTATGTGTCATCAAGTCACCCCTATGTACAACAGCCCTAAATCCTGCTCTATCTTGTGCCAACCTCACTGTCTTAGATACACCAAGCCCCATTACCCCAGTCACTGAATCAATCCATCTCATCGAGGGTCTTCCTCTCCTATGCTGTCCCTCCACCCTCTCTCCAGTGACATCCCTCTCCAAGGACTGGTCCCTGCTTGCAACATGTCCAAAGTATGTCAGATGGAGCTTCAGAATCCTTGCCTCCAAGGAGCAGTCAGGTTTCGCCCTCTCCAGAATGAATTTGTTTGTTCTCCTAGAAGTCCATGGTATATTCAATACTCTTCTCCAGCACCACATCTCAAAGGCATCAGTTCTCCTTTTGTCCTTCCTAGTAATTTTGCAGCTCTCTGATGCATAACAAGTAATTGCAAAGACCATGGCTGCATCAGGCGCACCTTAGTCTCCAGACTGACATCGCTGGTTTTCAGTATTTTGGAGAGGTCTCTGACAGCAGACTTTCCCAATGCAATTTGTCTTTTGAAGCTGTTAACAATCTCAGTCTCTTTACCATCTAACATGATGCTGCCAGTTGGCCCAGTGGTGAGAATCTCTGTTTTCTTGATATTGAGCTTCCGTCCATATTGAAATTTACGGTATTTGACTGTCTGCAGCAAGTGCTTCAGGTCCCCCTCAGTTTCAGCAAGCTGGGTTGTGAAAATATTAAAAGAGAGGATTAATATTTTAAGAAAGAGAAGTTGATAATTTATCTAAATGTACCTTATTTGGAAAATGTATTATTAGTAATATTAAAATAGAGAACTTTCTATTAAAAATACTTAAATTAATATATGAGACAGTGATGGGAACTTATTTTGAATTATAACTTATTAAACATGTAAAATTTTACAATAATATCTTAATTTCCTTAAGAAGGAAAACACAAATTCTGAATTTTCTTTTCATAGTCATGTAAATGACCTCTGAAATTTACATTTTTCAGCATGCTCCAGGTGTTGTCCAAGTACTTCCTGTGCCAGGATATCTTTTTAAAAATCAATATAAACACTATAGTGTAAATAAGTAGGAGTAAATCAAGTTAACGCCTTCCTCATCCTCCTCCTCCCTTCCCTCCTATTCAACTTCTTGTCCATTTACAACATGATGTTGTAACCATTGTGTCAAACCATCTCATTAAGGACCGTTCTCATTTTCACTTTACCCAGCATACTGTTCCTCTCCAGGGATTGACAAAGATGCTTTTTCATAGCCCTGTTTCCATAGTTTAAACGCTTGCTTTAGTCTTCCCCCATGTCCCCATACACTGGAATACTTGTGACTTATCATTTGGATCTCATCTTAACTATGATATGTCCTAGAATATCATTGATTGCTAGCTCCCAGCCTACAGATTTCCACAAGACACACACTAGGAAATATGGCCTCTTGACTCCATTTGGCTACTTACCATACTCAACCCATTATAGCACATATTTGTCTATAGCACATGTTTGTACCAATTGCCTATTTTCTTACCTAAATGTTTCTTAAGAAAGTCAGTTTGTAGAAAGCACTGAACTTCTTTTAAGGATGACAGAAAATTCAAGAACAGTTAATGATAATAGTTGGCCAACATGGTGAATCTGTTAATGTCCTTGAACTAGCATGTGGAGAAATCCCAAGTATTTGTTGTATAGCACATACACACGTGTGTGTGTGCATAAATATCATTGCTGTAGAGTTAGCATCAACTCATAATTGACCCTTCACTGAATTGCCAAGGCTGTGAATCACGTGACCCTGAGGATCTGTTGTTGAATTTGAACCACCAGGAAAGCTCTGCCTTTGAGATAACAATGCACCTCCCTGCCAACTATACCACCAAGTCCTTTCATAGTGAGTTGTGATTGTATCTTGTTTGCGTTTGTTTTCCTGCAGCCAACTGTAGTTCCTAACAGAGTGTAATCCTCCGTAAGTGACTGTTGACTAGTCAGACAAAGTGAAATGGTGGTGGACATAGGAAACTTGAGTGTGCTTTGAGGATTTATTCATTATCACACATGTTATCTGTGCAGCATGGCAACAGTGACATCAGTGATCACTAGGGGTTTTTTGGTCTCATGGGTATAATCACTTCCCCTTTGGAAATACTGAGATCTTCAGGAGAAATGAAATTACAGACTATTACTTCCAAAAACTTCCATTTCAAATTGTATCCACGAAATTGGAAGTTTAGCTTAAGAAGGCACAAAAGAGACCGTGGCACTCACTTTATACCTCCTGCAAATATGATCACATGGTTATTAGCGTCTAAAGACAAAGTAGATGAACAAATGAAAAGGCATCAGACTAGTCCAATTCTCTCCAAGATATGATCTGATTCTGTGTAAGACTGACATTTTCAACTAATTTATAGGGTTAGAGAAGATTAAAATAAAACAAACAGCTACGGTAGTTTGTGGGTGACACAAACACATGAGTACTTAACTACTAGGTGAATGAGTGGAGGTTTGAACCCACCCGGAGATGCTTAGATGACGAGCCTAGTGATCCGCTTCTGATGAGTCACAGCCTTGGAAATGCTTTGCACACATGGAGTCTCCAGGAGTCAGAATTGACTTGATGGCCACTAACAATCTCTGGTAACATAGTGGCAAGAAATTCCACTGGAATCCAAAACTCTCATGGTTCAAGGCCACTAGCCACTCCACAGAAAAAAGATGGGCAGTCTCTTTCCACGCAGTTAACTACCTCTGAGAAGCTGTTGGAGTGTCATCTGTGGGTCGATTCTGATTCTATGGCACACATCAACAACAGTCAATCGATAAGAACTGCCTCCTCTTCTGTGTCCCTGTAACATTTCTTCAGCTTTGTTTCCCTCATAGTCCATCACCTTGAGGTTTAACTGTTTCCTTTGTTGACATGTGTAAACTGAACTGTAGTATGAAGGGCTCCTAAGAACTTGATTAACCTGCAAGAAATCTTCATTTGCATCCTCTACCTTAAAAATACCTCATTACATTTAAATGGGGTATTTGAAATGACTCATACTGAAGCACCACATATTTATTACTTTCTATTTTTCTCTCTTTGACAGAAGATCACCCATGTGCAACCAACCATCCATCAACAAGGCCACCATAACAGGTAAGCACATCTGGAAAGTTATTCTTTTCAGAGCTGAGAAAAATATACTCTTTCAAGAATCAACATATTTCTAGTGCCAATTTTATATTGCTGTTCCAACTTTTAAAAATGAATCCTTTCATCTTTGAACTATCATTTCTTTTGTTGATCTTCCTGGTTTTCCATTTACGATAGTATGTGGGAAATAGTTTGGTTCTCTTTTTTTCTTTTCGTTTTTTAATCCGCTTCTCTTTGCATCTGTATTGGCATTGCTCTAGTGCTTGTCTTGTAAAACATACTGTTACCTTCAAAATATTTGCCACGTTGGTTCAAAACTAACATTATGAACACCATGTCAATATACATTAAAATGGTATAATGAAATTGAAAGGATAAACACAAGGGCACACTATCTTGGTATACAATATACTAGTTGTATGAAGGAAAGAACAGCATTCCAGTAGTCTTGATTTGGACCCATTGAGCTAAGAATAAATTTATTTGGGAAAGTAGAAGAGGAGAAATTATACACTGCAGACAAATTTAATGAGAGCAGAAGAAAAGTTCCCAGATGTATGTAAAAGGGAATGGAAAACTATGCAGCACACAGGAGCAATACTTTTGTAAATTATTATTACCTAACTTGGAAGGAGCTAGAGAGCATTATGCTGAACTAATTCAGTCCCACAAGGATAAATATTGTATAAGACCATTACTGTAGAAGGAGTATAAGGATTCAGGATGGGTAAGAGAGGCTGGATGCAGAGGGATGTGGATGTACAGGGGGAAGAGGAGATTAATCATTGGATTGTACAATTTGATGGGAGGGTGAGGGAAATGGGAATAATTTGTTCAAATTTGTATTAGAATTTTATAAATAAACTAGTGGGGGGAAAAGTCAGCTTAGGGTGGGGGAAGGAAGAGAAATGGGGTAAAATGTGCAACAATGAGTAAATGAAAATCTAACTTTTCTGTAAACTTTTGTTAAAATGACAATTAAAATAAAAAATTTTATCTAAAAAAAGAGAAATGAAGGTAGAGAGAAATAAAGGATCAAAAAGGAAGTGTATCCAAGTTCTTATTTCTCTGTTTTAGACGTGGAAATTGAGCTCATTTGAACCAGAAACAGAATGGATGAGCTCATTTTGCTGAACCCAAGCAAATTCAAAGTATTTAATCATTCCTTGAAACCTCAATTGAATCATTAAAATAATTGTCTGAAAAAGGAAAACTTGTATTTTCTAAAATTATTGCCAGGAGAAAATGAACATACTCTTCAAACTAAACCAATAGTTCATTTGCTTTAAGTGCCCTTACTTGGAATTCAACATGCAGTGTGCTGAGAAGCACCTATTCAGTCATTAGTGATTATATTTTGCTTAAAATGTCAATTTGTGGTCCCCCATTAGCACGTTCCAGCCAGGTTCATTTGTGGACATCACCTCAGAGCTGATTGTGGAATAGTTGGTATTGTCTTTTTTTCCCTTAGAATGTCTATTGAAAAGAGCTTATATTTCAATGATGTTCACATTTTTTATTCTCTTTTCTATGTTTAATGTGTAAGAGCTAATTGATGTTGATTTCTACTTGTCATTCCCAGCGTGTATATATATGGTTCAGTGGTTTTACTATTGACGTTGTCCAGGAGGGGATCAATAAATGAACTTCCTATATATTAAAATAGGGCTTTTGAGGTACAGATTGCTTTTTCAAAAACCCAAGTGAAATGTCCATTAGCCTCACCTGAGGTGGGAGGGTGGGTAGTATGGAATTGGTCCCATCCGTCTCTGCACAATTACCTGAATCTACCCAGGGACAGGAGGCTTACTTTTGCTAGCACGTTCCTTGTTCTTCAAGTCAGGACAGCATGACAGCTGGCCTCCACTCACCCAGAGCACTAGTCCAGACCCCTGTGAAAAGGAACAGTACCTCACCTTCTCGGTTTTGCAGTAAGTGATGCTGTAAGACTGTGGTTTGAGCAAAACGCAGTACAATTTTGGTCCTTTGAAAGCCTTTGTTGTTTGAAGTCACACATGAGCTGCCAGATGGGAGGGGAGCATCCTTTCTGAAGAGCAGCTGCAAGGACCAGCAGAGGCGGAGGCTGGTCAGTGGTCAGACCTCCAGCACAGGGTAACAGGCGGGTGTAGTGCTCTCAGGCACAGACTTGGCTTTGAGCACATGTGGAATATCCCATGGAATCACTCAGAATGTCTTCTACATGGTTGGAGAATGGGGATCATGGGGAAATGTAACATTCATTATGGCCTCATTTGTACCCACAAATTCCTAACTGTAGCCTAGGGACAGTGGGGTCACATAAGTATCTCATCTAGGAAGAGAAACTGATTAACTGCCATTAACTGCTTAGTGCAGCTGTGTTCATCATAGAGCACAACAGGAAATCAAATGACTAGAGAAAAGAAGTCTTCATCACTGAGAAGCTTAGCAAGCCAAGGAGGGAAAGCTGGTTTAAGAGGTGGGTGCAGTGGGGGCAATGGTACAAGTTGCTTCTCTCTGAAGTTGGGCATTCTGGAAAAATAATCTCTTAAAACACTTTCTCCTTGTTAGGTACCACTGAGTCGCTTGCAACTCATAGCAACCTTTTGTACGACAGAGTAAAACTCAACCTGGTTCTCCCCCATTCTGTCAATCACTGCTGCATATGAGCCCATTGTTGAACATCCTGTGTCATCCAGCTCCTTGAGAATCTTTCTCCTGTGCTCTAATCTCCTTTGACCGCCAGGAAACTTGAGTGGCTCATCTTCCATGGCAGACAATGTTCTGCTGCTATTCATATAATAAGTAATGGGGTCGTTATGAGTCACAGACGACTCAACGGCACTTAACATCGATAGCAACATGCATGAGACTTCAATAAAAGTAAGATTTTGTACTCACAGAAGAGGTGATGGTTGTGCACTGCCTCCCTCAGCAGACCTCTGTTCAGGCTCATTCCCTTGTGGTTTGTTGTTTTGTTAGTTGCCATCCAATTGATTTTCATCTCCTCGCAACTTTGTGTGACAGACTACACCTGCTAATGAAATTCCCTTTGCCATAATATATATTCTAGAAGATGACGTGGTCTTCTCTCCTGCAGAACAACTTGAAGGGCTACACTGCCCAGCTCTTCGGTTAGCATTCCAGGGCTTCATGGTTGCACCATCTGACTTGTAGAAACGACCTGTATCTCTGGGGTAATCCTCATAAGTCTGAGAAAGGGTACTGAAGAGAGTAAATGAAATAAAGGTTAAGAGGACTCAGCCTTCTTAGGAGTTCTGTTGAGGAGCTCGAGGAATTGTGTGGTGTAATGGTCAATACCTCAGGTCCACAAGTCCCCTGTGGGGCCAATCCCCTGAGATGTTACAGGCATGATGTGCTGGGGTTGGACAGTGGGTTGCTCTGCCTGTCTAGAATACCAGAGTCCAAATCATGTTCTAGTCATTTGAGAACTTGTGGTCTTGAGGATGGTATAAACTCTTTCTCTGCCTACAAGTTCCATGTAAGCAGATGTGGTGGTGAAAGCAGCACCACGTAGTGCCAGGAGTTTGAACAGCGGCTCTGGCAGTGCATTCTATAGGGAGCTGTGCAGCTCAGCCGTTGGTCACGCCTTCCCGGAAGCTCTAATCCACCCATAGCTCCAGAGGAGAAAGGTGGAAATTCTGCTCTCGTGTGATGTACAGACTTGGTAACCCAGTGGAGGGTTAGCTATGAGTTGATGGTGACTCGATGACAAAGAGTTAGTGTTTACTTTGACATTAGGAGTCTCTGGGTGGTTCAATCATTTAAGTGCTCAACTATTTAACAAAAGGTTGGTAGTTTGAACTCACCGAGAGATACCTCAAGAGAAAGACAACAAATAATAAAATAATTGATAGTATAGAAAAATAGATGGTGGTTGTTATTGTGGTGGTGGTGGTGGTGGTTGTTAGGTGTCATCGAATCAAATATGACTCATAGTGAAATGGTGTTAATACCTCTTACAGTGTCTGCCAAATCAATTTAGTTAACATACGTGGTTCTCTTAGCACAGTATCTCATAAAGGGAGCACACAAGTAACATTTTTTTTCTTTGATTTGACAGGGTCATGAACTTCTCTCTGAAAGGGCCAGAGGGAGTGCGAATAGCACCACCCCTCACTGTCCCAGGACAGTGGGCAGCTCTAGAGCCACATTAACAGCAAGAGGCTCTTTTACTCGTTATTGACTCACAGACTCACCATTATTGTATCAACAATGAGGTTTATTAGGGAAGGCAGTTGGGAGAGTGGAGGAGGCAGAGTATTATAATTTCACCCAAAATGAGTCCACATTTTAGCCCAACAGTTCTAAGGCAAAACTCCTCAGCTAATCCAGACTCCAGTTTCAATTTGGCAAGCAGTTTTCTTTCCATCATCAAAGACAAGAACAGCATAATTCAGCTGTGGGCAACACTAATGTAAGAAGCATCAAGCCACACCTTGCCACAGTTTCTCCACAGCAATGCCAGTCTCTTTACCACCTGGGTCTCACTCTCACCAGGATCTTGTCACCACAAGCCTTTGCTCACTTCAGTCTTGTTACTCCAAGTCTTGCTGCCCAGTGTGAGCAGCACTCTTTATATCGTTGCTTCAGCTGTTGATGATTAGCAAGACCATGAGTCTGCAGTTAAGGCCGCTAGAGACCAGAGGTCACTAACTAATGGCGAAGAAAAAGCCAACCTTTTTAAGTGAACGCTACAGGCTCCATCTGTACTTTGAATGATCTGAGAGCAGTGACTGTAACAATGGACTTGAGCATGCTGGAGATTGTGAGAATGGAATAGAATAAGACGCATTTCTGATGTGTTTGTTCATAGGGTCACTATGAGTTGTAGTTGACTCAAGGGCCCTTAATAACAACCATGCCTATAAACAAAGCCAAGTAAAACTGGAGACAAAACAAAATACTGTTTGAATACTTATTCAAAGAGACATTATGACAAGAGCACCCCATGTAAAATGAACTCTCATTACATGATGTGCTGTTAACTGAAAAGTCAGCTT